GAAAAGCACTTTTTCAATTCGAAAGTGCTTTTTAAAATTCGAATACCCAGAAAGAGAAAAAATATCAGGCTTCTTCATGGTTATAATGATAAAAGGAGGCAATTAGCCCAAGAAAGGCATAAGGAAGGGGCTATTTCAGAAGGGGAAACTTGAGTAGAATTTGATGCGGGAGCTTAGGAGAAATTTGAAGAACAAATTCAAGAAGACAGTGAATTTGATAGGGAAGAAGAGGAAAATGAAGAAATCAACGAAGAAGAGAAAAAGATACATATACGCTTACTCATCACAACTCTCATGTAGAAGAAGTCAGAAGAGGAGAATACAAGAACAATAAAAGGTATACCAAAAATAACCTATTATTATAAGTTTGGTACCTCCAGTATGCTTGTCAATACTACAAAGGGAATCTGTAAAATTACCAGTTTCTTTGGGTCTGCAGATGAGTTTTCGATATATTTGGCATTTCCTATATTCTTGGTATATCCGGTACCTTCAATATCTTCAACATTAACTAAATTGAATGAAGATGAAGCAATATCTATTGCACTTTGTGAGATAATTGTCCAACTTCAGAAAGATCTTCTAAAGAATAGATGGGTATTCACAGTCTTGGAATATAACGAATGGTGAGCTGTCTACAAATATTTTATATGACTAAATGATGGTTATAGCAAAATGAATGCAAGTCATGAAGCTGCAAATATGATTTATATCATGTCAAAATCACACAGAAATAAAAGAATCCACCTTCTGGCTAAATTTTATTTGCATCACAAATCATTTTTCATTTCTCATCATGGTCATCACCAAAAATATAAGTAACTTGTAGATGATAAAGATATTGTATTGAAGTGTTAACAATAGATATACCAGTAATCAGATGTAAATGGCATTAGCCTATCACAATTTAAGCAATATATTGATGATGTTATCTTACCAGGATGTCTAGAGGAAATCAGAAAATCAATCAATCTGCAAATGGCAAAGAGATAGTTAAACATTTTGGGATGTCAATTTGAAGAATACTAAAAAGGAATGTCATGAACAGAAAGATGTTATTACATATCAAAGAAAATTTTTGAAGGAAATGAAAGATTTAAAATGGCGAATGGCAACATATAAAGGATTAATAATGGTGCCAATTCCATTAGTACTTGAAACATATGAGTGAGAATTAATTCTTGTCACTTATGATGAGTGTATTTTTTATTTAAATGATGGAAAAAGAGGGATTTGGATACCAAATAGAGAGATGCCATTATGAAGAAAAGGTAATGGAAGATCAATTATGGTGAGTGAATTCTTGTCAGAGGCATATGATCAGCTGTGACTAAGTGAGAAAGAGCTAGCAAACCATCCAAATATTCCATTAGAGGCTCATTATTATCTTATACCTGATAAAAATCAGGAAGGTTATTGGACAATTGAATATTTGCTTGCACAAATTGAAAATAAAGCTATTCCTATTTTCAAAACAAAGTTTTCTAATGCAATAGCCATTTTTGCCTTTGACAATAGTACAAATCATGCAGCATATGCAAAAGATACTCTTATAGCAGCAAGAATGAATTTGGGATCTGGGAGAAAATAACTAATAATGCAACTAACAATTTTTGTTAATATAAATAGACAACAAATAATTCAATAAATGATATTCAAAGAAGATTATCCTGACTCTGCTATGCGTGGAAAGCCCAAAGGAATAAGAAAAATATTAGAGAAAAGAGGATTATGGAAGAAAGAATTGAATTTAGATTGCCAAATGTGTAAGAATGAAAAATCAGCAAAGAATCTTTTGCAAGTAGACTGTTGTTTAAGAAAAATTATGATCTCTCAGCCAGATTTTATTACCCAAAAGTCAGCTATTGTAGAATTAATCAAAAGAACTGGTTATTTAAGCATTTTTTATTCAAAATTTTATTGTGAACTTAACTTTATTGAAATGTATTGGGAAGTAGCAAAGTACTATACAAGAAGCTATTGTGACTATACATGGACTGGCTTGCAAAAAACTATTTCACAAGCACTTGATTCAGTAGACATTATTATAATTAGAAAGTTTACTTAAAAATCATGGCGATATATGGAATTGTATCATAAGGATTTGACAGGAAAATTAGCAGAATATGCATGTAAAAAATTCAAATCACATAAATGAATTTTACAAAAAGAATTAGCTTTATTTCTATCAGAAAATAGTAATTAATAAGTATAATAAAGTTATAAAAAGCTTTTAAAAAATTCCAAAAACTTTAATAGTCATGTGATTTTTCAATAAGTAGATAAAAATTGATTTTTAGTTTATTTAGAATTGATTAATTTTTGAAACCAAAAATGGAATAAGTCACATGATTGGTGTCTTTAAGTATTTTGCACTGTACTTACTTTTTTTATCATAGACTTCAATGGTCATTATTATGGAACTTACGCATTTCCACCAAGAACATCTTTATTCATGAAACTCTGGCACCTATTTTATCTTCTTTCTTCAACAATAAGCTTCTGAGCTGCAGGTGGTAGGTGTTATTTATATATTCTTATTTCAGTAAAGCTAGCTAATTATATTATTATTTTCATTATTATCAGATCTACTGACAAGCTTGACGTATCTATTCACCAGAAGAAAAAATTTGATCCTTCTCTTAAATTAAGAGGGAGAGTACCAAATTTCATAGTATCCACTTCCATCAAATGCAAGAAACAAGAAGTAATGGTGACAGAGGTGAAGTCACCAAAATATCATGGCAAGACTTTGCCAGATGATATGGTCAAGCTAGAGAATGAAATGAAAGACTTGTTAGATAAGATAATTGATGATGGTATAGATACTAAAGATGTGGTTGTCTGTGATCTCCTTGTGCAAGACAAGTAATCTGTCATTGATTTATTTATTGTAAAAAACATAAATCTATCTGATTGCTCAACTATATTTCTCTCCAAATAGGTTTCTGATACAGCTTATTTGTAATGGATTTAAAGTATGATGATATTTATCAGATGATCCTTTTGAATTGTTTTTATCTTTCTCGAGATCACAATGATTTTGGTGTATTTTCCAAAGCTGCTGAAGTCTTGATGCAGGTGAAGGTTAGTATTTATTGAGTAATTGCTCTATGTAATCTCTAAAATTTTGTCCTATTAATTGTTCCTTCAATTTCTATTTAAGATGATCATGATTCAGACTTCTCAGCTATGTGTTGAAAGCTTGCAAACTTCAAGCTCTGCTGAGGACAAAGTGATTCCTGTTTGGCCTGAGGGTTCCAGAATGCCACCTTGCCAAAAGATGGCACGGCCTTCATATCATATCCCCATCAAAGTCCCACTCAATTGAATGTGACAATTAGTTTTTGGAATGGATAGTGCTTGAGATGGTCAATTGGATCGCTGAACATCAAGGATGTGAAGGGAAGGATACTAAGAGACAAAAATATATTAATGTTTTGCTTTTGTTACTATAGATGCTTATTGTAATTTTAATAAATATCTTTTTAACTTCAAACTTTAACCAATAATAAAGTATTATTCTAGTTTTTAGAAAACATATAGCATGGTTTATTTTAACGATTAGAAATAAGTTATCAATGATTAAAGTTAAATCAGTTATTGATATATTTTTGTCCCTGCATATTAAATCGCTATCTAGTAGCTATCTAATATTTGACATAACCTCCCTTTGCCTTATACACTGCCTCGATACGCCTGGGCAAAGCTTCTCGATCCCTTTAGGGGCCTCCTCATAGCTGTTTAGCTTTTTTTCAGATGCATCCAAAGATGCTCGATGGGGTTGAGGTCCGTAATAATCGATCGATTGTTGGAACTCATCTTCCAAAATGCTGACGTAGAGCTCTGCATTCATTTTGTCGATGATGCGGATAACATATCCACGCCGTCAAAGCACATGCATGACCCTCACCGTCCCTTTCACGTGACGGCTCTCCAGCGGCGCACCAGCTTTCTTCCACACCCATTCACGTCCATCGGAACCCAGGCGGTTGATTTTGGTCTCGCCGGAGTAGACGACACGTTTCCGTGCTTTTATGTGGCGCGGGAGTAAAAGCGGTTTTTTTTTCTTTACTATTGCCTTCATTCCTGATTTTTTAAGCGCGCGACGTACAGTCTTAGAACTCACGCGCTGGTTGCCATCGTTGTCTCGAAGAGCCTTCGCGACTTGCACGGCATTGTCTGCCTGACCTGATGTTACTTGACGGACAATCCACGTCTTATCGCGACGAGAAAGCTTGCCTGGGCGACCTCGTTTGGTCAGGGCAGTATTGGCGGCAGCGGCACAGTTTTCCTTCCTTATACGGCTCACGGTAATCATGCTAATTCCTACTTCTACAGCGACAGCCTTCGTTGTCTTTCCAGAATTTAATTCTCTTATGATACGGTTGCGTGAATGTCGTCGGACAGCTTTATTTTTTTTGCACGTTATTGTGTTTTGGGGTGTTTAAAATTAAAGGAGGTGACATGAGGATGTTAAGAATGTTGGCAAAGATGTCCTGGAACGGTGTGGAACAGTTGTATGACAGATACCGATGAAACAATGTCTAGGGGACAAATATCTATCAATGACTGATTTAACTTTAATCATTGATAACTTTATTCACCGTCATTAAAAATAAATCATGCTATATATTTTCTGAAAGCTAGAATGATACTTTATTATTGATCAAAGTTTGAATTTAATAGGATATATATTAAAATTACATTAAGCATCTATAGCAACAAAAGCAAAACATTGATACATTTTTTGTCCCTTACTGTATGTAATGCTTGTTTTATAATTAATTTGGAAAGTTGTCGCCAAGCTCTATTTTATAGCTGATTAGAAATGGCGGATTTGTTGATCTGGATGGTTTGTTTTCGGATAATTCGGAAAGACATCCTCATCCTCCTCCCATTTCATCGAAATATCTAGCATATTAATAGTGGCTTGCCCCAATAACAACCAGAGTCATTTTTGCGCTCCAGCAACCGAGCTCTACAAGGTTATATCCCTGGAAGTAGACCACTATGGAAAACGACAGAATAGCAGGAAAACTCCTTGATCCAGAAGAGTATGCCAAAATCTGAGGCAAGAATAAAATTGAAGAAAAAAGCAATTCAAGTCAAATATCTCCTTTATGACTAATTCCAGCCACCTTGGCTACGGCCGGGATAACGGCAATGGTATGCTGGATGCTAATGAGGAAGCCAGCAAAAAGACAAGGAAGATAGCGATAGCGCCTTTCAACCACCAAGGCCACAACTGCTTGATGTTCACTTTGTGATGTTCACTTTGTTGCAGCACACCCCATATATAAAAGAAGTAGGGTTCCGATCGGTCCGGTAAATTTCGGTAATTTACCAAATTGAGATGTTACCAAGATTTCGGTAACGATTCCGACGGTAATTCGGTAATTGCGATATTAGTATAAAATATCGTTCGTGAACTTTGCACGCAACAATAAGTGCAATACCAAGGTTTAGCATACAAATGTTAGAATAAAAATATTTCTAGGATTCTATTCTGCAAGTTTACAAATATTAAAAATATTTTGACGTGTTAATTCACGAGATATTGTGCAAAATTATAAAAAATTTATATATAGACCTGTAGAGAAATATTTATTATTGACATTTTGTATGCTAAACTTGTAATTGCGCTTAGGATTATTAAATATAGTTTATAAAATACTTTTACATCTGTAGCACTTGCAAATGCACGTTCGGCAGGTGCACGATCACTATTAACACTCATTTTAAAAAATTTATTGATTTAAAATCATTATGATTCGGTAAAATCATTACCGTATGCGGTATTACCGTTATCGATCGGAAAACTATTTGGAGATGTCGGTTCGAATAATTACCGAAAAATTCGGTTTACTGACCGATCGGTACCGAACCGTTCGGATCCTACATCTGATCACCATACAATGCAACCTTTATTGATGGAGCTTGCGAAAATTTATGAACAGGTTTATAGTCTCGCTGAAACACCAAATTCTTTACAAGCATCTGTTAAACATGCTTTAGAAATCATAGAAGAGGCATTGAATAGATATGGGTCAGTTGCTTGATTTTCTTTCAAATGGATACCTTCATTATATGAAGTTTATAGGATCCTTTATCTTAATTATTTGTAATAGAACCAATGGATTAGCGTTGTCTTTTAATGGGGGAAAAGACTGCACTGTACTTTTATATTTATATTCAGCGGCTCTTTATAAATTCTCACAAAAATCCGGTGAAAAAATACCAAAAATTCAGAGCGTATATATTACTAATCTTAACCCTTTTGCCGAGGTTGATGCATTCGTGGAAGAATCTATACACCGATACAGATTAGATCTTATTAAAGTAGAAAGTCCAATGAAACAGGCCTTAGCTACTTATTTGGAAAATCGGCCAAGTGTGAAGGGTATCCTGGTTGGTAATAGAAGAAATGATCCATATAGTGGTAAGTTTATTTTTATTTAGGTTTTATTTTCATGGTGTTGTTATCATTTAAGTTAGCATGATCATCTAATCAATATTCTCGTGATATTTAGAGCGTCTATCTGAATTTGCACCAACCGATCCCGGTTGGCCTAATTTTATGCGTATACATCCGATTCTAGATTGGCATTATAATCAGATATGGGAGTTTTTACAAAAGTTAAAAGTACCTTATTGTAGTTTGTATAATATAGGGTAAGCTAAAATACAATCGACTACTCTAATTCTCGTTTCTCTCGGGGAAAATATCTGGTTTTTTCTGATCTGTAATGAATATTTCTAGATACACTTCACTCGGTAGTACTGTTAACACCCGGGCCAATCCAGATCTCCGTAACCCTAATAATCCTAATGGTTTTGATCCAGCCTGGAAGTTAACAGACGAGAGTAAAGAACGAAATGGACGAACAGTCGAAAAATACACCATAAAGACAATATTATCTAATTCAACGACATCGGCAACAATAACAAACGATATAAATAATGAAGGATGAATATAATTAGTAGTGATCCCTTTAATTTAATTTGGACAATTCCGATTTTATAGAACATAATATAATTGAATGTTGCAACACATGAGGCATACGCATAGATATTTGTTTTTAATTTGTTTTTACTTATAATATCTCGAGTTATACAATCACTAATAGAAATCAATATGGACGAAAGATCCTCTCGCCTTTATTTGGATACGAAAGCATCTAATTCTAACTTTCACCATGTTGGTGTTTCTTTAATTGCATTCTATAATAGGTCGTCGCGACAGCAAGACAAATAATTGATTGGTTTGTTGGTTCGATGACATAATAGGGGAAGAGGGTATCAAAATCGCACAAAATACCACCATTCGATTCGTCTAGTTATGGCGAATCAAATTATGGCATTTTAACGGAGTCTGCAAGGAAACTCGACACTTTTGCAGATCACGTGTTTCACATTTTTCCCGACCCTGACTTATCTTTTGATTAAGATAAAATCAATATATTATATATTATAAATAAATTATTCCGATGGAGTTAAAAACTTCGCAAGGAACATGTTTTGTTAGAATGAAAAGTAGTTTCATAGGTAAAATTTCAAGATACAAGCTATTTTTCAAAAAAGAATATTTTATTTTGGCCATCCCGAAGTCTAAACTATAATTAGAAACATTCAAATTGATATTCTTTATTTGGAACCAAAATGAATCGATTGATTAATTTAAAGACCAAGAATCGTCTCGTGATTCAGTGAAGCATCGCCGTACTAAAACCTGTCCAGTCATTTATTGTTATTGGCCATTGAGCGTCAACTAACGTTTTCGTAAATACCATAGCGAGAGAAAACCATTGATATGTTCAAAAGTTTATGAAAAATCACATGACTTTGATCGTGCCCTCGAATTTACAGATGTCTAGAAAATATCACCTCACGATGATGACAAGCGAGTCTGAAAATTATTATTTTTAACGCAAAATGAAAAAATAGCAATTCTTATTATAATCAATTGGGAGATCTTTTTGGATTATTTTTGGATGTAAGGTTTCTTAACTGCTATAAACTCCACTCCAGCACCACTAAATGTCCCATCACATTATTACGACAGCTGTTCATCCCCCCCTTTCCCCTCGTCTTCTTCCTGTAAAAGTGATTCACGAATTTTGATTAATGCTGTCAACACCGTTCGCCTTCCGTCTGGTTCAGCGAGATCAAAACCAGTCGTCAAACCATTCTTAGCCGGCCACCTTTGAACCTCAATTGACTGATTTTGCGGTAGGCCGTTTTCAAGCTCTGTCCAATACGTTGCAGGAATCACAGCTTTATAAAACGTAACATACGTAGATATTGCACGAACAGCCCATAATATCTGATCTGAATATTCATCTCCAAGCGAACGCATATTCGCACTACCGCAAGCGAGAATCTCTGCGCTGATTTGTGTTTCCCCAAATTCAGTGGCTTTCCCGACATTTTTCAGATGTTTGTCCTGTAAAAAGGTTTGTTTGAGTCGACAAGAGTAACCTGTTCAAACAGCAAAAATAGACCTCTACCACAAGAACAAAAATGCTTCGCTTCTTTACTATCATCCTTTTCATTAATAAAAATATTTTTTATTTTAGCTTCAAATAAATATATATCTTTATTTTCTGGAATTAGATATCAAAAAAATCTTAATATCTGTAATAGTTACTACTGCTTTTTTGTTCATTAATAAGTGAATTATATAAATATAAAATATAATGAGAAGTTTTATTAATATATTTATTGGATTCTTTTACATTAGTAGGCATAAAGGATATTAATTAAGACTTATTTAAGAATTGAAGTTGATCCATTCTCATTTTCTTTAACTATATTACTACGAGTTGGGATTCCTAAATAATTATCATCAAAATAGTGAAATAAGTATTGAAGTAATTATTTTATCTTTCTATTTTTCAAAATCTGTAATTAAGAAAAAGCTTTAATCTCCTAATAGTAAAATATTCCATTATCTTCTTTCTTTATTTCTGGCTTGAAATTTTCAGAAGATGATAGAATAAATTCTGTTGGTATATTTTGAATACTCATATTATTTTGATGATATACTATTTGAGAGAAAAAAGTTCAAAATAAAATTAATTCCAGAATATACATATTATCAGATATTACAAAGCAGTTATATTATAAATATGATATTTTATTATTATTCTTATATTCTTAAAACTAGAGAAGTTTGTAACTGGAATAGCTATTGATCTGAGAAATATCAAGTTTACTAGAATTCTCCTATACATATTTCTTGTAAAGATTGTAATAAGTTAACTTTTTTTAAATGATACTTATAATATTTATGCTAGAAAATACTGAAAAATGGAGTAATACTATCACAAAAAGCAGAAGAAAATAATATAAAATAATGTTAAAATAATAGAAAAAAATATATAGTTTGTCTTAGATTTTTAGAAGGGAGATATATTCAATTTACTTGAATAAATTTTTTCTTAGATGGATTTTCTAAATGTAAAAAAGATAGTTAGTAATATTTTTAAACTGATAGAAAGAGTTTTAGACTAGCTATCTAGATTATTTAGATTATCTAAATAAATTTTTAATTTCTTTACTCTTATATTTTTTATTTATGTATATATAGTGATGACCAAAAGTAATGATATAGTGGCTAAATTTACTAATAAAACATAGTGAAAGTTGAAATTTTCTTTCTATATTAAAATTTATAATTTTAATAAGAAATAATTTTTAT